TTTAAGCTTGACCACCATATTGACAGGTACGAATATTTTCGAGTATTCGCTGAGTTTTGCCAAACAGAAAAATTTCTTGAGATGCGACTGGCAACTCCTTCACATGATCATGCTCTTCGTGACATATCGGTCTCAAATATGACTTCTTTCTTTTCCAAATCTTGCCAAAGGCTGCGTAATTGCCATGTCTGCAGCATCTGGCACAACGATCATTGCCTCCAACAGAAAACGCAATCTATGTTGGTGAGCTTCCTTACGCTTTGGGCAATTTCAGACCCGGATTCGCCGTCATAAGGATGATTTGACGATATGCTCAACCAGTGATAGCAAAATTAGATATCCTATACTGTAGAATCCTTATCTGGGATGGTTTGAGGGTTCACCCTATAGCAGTGACGAATGGGTCCTCGATCCCAGGCGGGAATAGGAAGCGAGGGTATGATCTCTTCATCAAAGGGAGAAATGGTGGGATCACTGCAAGTGCGACACGATTTTTCTCGCTGGCTACTACGTTCTATTAGGTGTGCGACTCAACAGGAGCCATGTCGTTGAGGGTAAATTCGCCGTTGGGTTTGTAAGCGAGCGCTATTGCACAAACATGAGAAGGTCAAAAAGACATGCCAAGAAGATGTTATGCTCTGTATGGCCTTTAAAATAAATATTATATATCCGGATATATTCTAAATAATTATATTCGGCTGTATATAGCAGTGCAAACACTAGAGAATAACAAAGGAATGCAATATTATATCGATCATTGAACATCACTCGTTAGAACCTAAATATGAATCCCCTCTCGGAAATCCTGTTATCATCCATTGTCCGAAAATGGATTCTATGCAACTCCTATCGAAGGGGTCAACCACCGGAGGGTATCAATATGGCAGTCTTGGAAGATTTTTCACACGCTTCAAGAGAGAGGCTAATGTATGCGGCTCTATTTGGATATCTCGCCACCTCCGACCACTACAGCTGTCAACATTTTCCAATGTGTTAACTTCCTCTAAGGGTAATAGTTGACTCTAATATCTAGAAAGAATTGACCCAGAGGGGGATAAAAGCTTAGCACGATATAAATTGGTTTCCGGAGGGCGCGCATTGTTTACGGAGTACCCTGGGGTTGTAACAAAAATTACAGCTTGGAATTAGTTACCATACACATTGACACATTCGAATTTCAGTGTGCTTAAAGCAATCGTGGTCGCATCATATTAGATCCTAGTAAACCTGGATTTCATGCTTCAACTTGCAATTCACGTTGCCGTGGACATAGCGTTTCCCGCAGTCCCTGGTTCCGTATAGACCTTGAAATGTATTTACAAGTGTAGGGATATCACGAATCGATAGTATTTTCATGCCATGCACAAGATGTTTGACACTGTTTTTTGTTCGCGGATAAATTGATAGGATTAAAGGTACACTTCCCAAAGAAGCCTAGTGCGGCGCCTCAGACCCCCAGACGCGCGGTAAACAAACGTGTTGCGGCAAAGCTTAATGTTTGATGCTCCGCTTTTGCTTTCAACTTTCAAAGTCCAACAGCATTTAGCCTAGAAATCATTTCCCAAAAATTTTCCCCAATACCCATCTTGCACGAATTCCATACCCCGCTACTTTTGCCTTCTTTTTCATTTCCACTCTTTTGTATCACGACATTTGAATCCACATTGCTACTCTCCTTTTCTTCTGTTGGATGCACCTTTCTCTTATTTTCAACTAAATCGCTTGGTCGCAATGGACAATGCCAACCTGTGGACTCGCCGGTCGAAGTAAGCAGGACTATAAACTGACATGATCCTCTGGATATAGAAGTGTAGCGTGTCTTGATGCTGACCCCAAGTGACACTAGCAAGCTCTCCCTTTCCATGTCCGGTTCGGACGCCAAAGAGACCAGTGGAAGACAAGATTCCTCTCGAAGTCATACATCCAAGCGATTTGGTCCTGACAGTTCTCACGGACGATCGAACCCTTTCAACGTGATCTTACCCCTCACTACGAACGCACCATCTCCCTCCGCCGGCGCCTCGTCCGCTTTTGGCTTAGGATCTGGTGCGTTTGCCTCCTTCGGCTCGGCCAAAACACCAAAAACCCCTGGCGCATTTGATCTTAGCGCCCCAAAATCGAGTGAAAAACGAGAAACGCAGCCAGAAGACGAAGGGGTGAATAATAAAACCGTGAAGTCAAAGGCGTCATCTTCTTCTCTCAATAATACCCCAACAACTCCTGCTCTTAAAGAACACCCCATAAGGTCTACTTGGATCGTTTGGTACCGACCCCCAACACCAAAACATTCTGACTACGAGAAATCTACCATAGCTCTTGCATCGATATCTTCTGTTGAGAGTTTTTGGGCCGTTTACTCACACCTTAAGCGGCCTTCTCAGCTCCCGTCGGTGTCGGACTACCATATTTTTAAGAAAGGAATACGACCAGTTTGGGAAGATGAAGCAAACAAACGTGGAGGGAAATGGATCGTCAGATTGAAGAAGGGGGTTGCTGATCGCTATTGGGAAGATTTGCTTCTGGCAATGGTGGGCGATCAATTTGCGGAAGCAAGCGATGAGGTGTGCGGGGCGGTTCTGAGCGTTAGAAGTGGGGAGGACGTCCTGTCTGTCTGGACGAGGATTGATGGTGGGCGGAATATCAAAATTCGGTATGTTATTTTGGTGTTTGTTTCATACAGCTCGATTGCCCGTGCTGCTACTAATCCTTCTTTCAGGGAAACTATAAAACGCCTGTTAGCCTTCCCTCCAGACACCAACATTGCCTGGAAAAGTCATGACGATAGCATTGCGCAACGTTCCGCCATCGACCAGGCCCGCCAGGATAAAGCCGCTGCAAATGCAAGTCACCATAATCAGGGCTCAGATCGTCGACGTGGGCAAAACCAAGATGACACTTCGGCTGATAAAGGGCGGACTGCAGCATCGTAAAAGAAAGGCCCGCATGCAAATGTGGCCAGTGTACAGTAGCTCTTTGTCTTTTCCCCTTTTTTCCTATATTTTTGTGCTTATGCTGTGGTCCCGGCATTTGCGGTCAGACAGGTTTCTGCTGATGGTCTTTGTTGTGTCTTTTGTTTCTTCAACACATTGCGTTTGTATGGGTGGAAAAGAGTAGTGGAAATTTTAGTGCCAAAATGGCCCTTTCTTTTATTCTGATCAACTGGTGGATTCTAGCTAGACTTTTTGTTGTGTTTTGAGTTTCTTTTTGAGGATTTAACGGCCTGGAAGGAATACAATGGCAGGAACAAGCAAATACCTTTCTGCCTCTTGCCACGATTCAGCTACATATCTGACATCCTCCAAGACTTCAAATATATACTGATGAAGCCGTAGAAAACAGAAATTATAGTAGCTGATTTGGGCCGGAATGTAGGTTATCGATTCTAAGTAAATTCTGATACTGAATGCTTTGCAAAATCCCGTTCCGAGATGGCCATTGCGGGTGGCGGCTTTCCGTACCCTTGGTGGCTGTTAACCGCCGGGACGCCGGTGCGCGTAAATGTCTGTGGACCAGTGTTGGTCAATCAGTCAATTTGTTTGATTGACAATTTTGCCTTCACTCCGGGTCAAACAACCTGCAATCCCACCAAACCCCAACAGCCCATATACATATTCCTGATGCCTCCTACTTCTCAGTGTATAATGTCTCAGCCGCGAATGTTTTCCTTCTCCAGCTTATGAAGTGGCTATATAAGCTATCCCACCTCATCTGGCCGGAACACGACATCTCAAACACCGCACGGGAACCACGAACTCCAGAGTTTTCAAAGCGGTGGCAACGACGACACATAGCTCATGGTGTCGAAGGTAAACCAGTCCCGGTCCAGATGTCCGGTGTGAGTGATCAGCTGTCTGCTACAAACGGACAGGTGAGAAACACGTTTCAGTTCTTTCAGCTCGGAAGCGTATGGCAATCATAGCTCCCTATATCGTTTTATTCACTTGCTTTATAGCAATGTTTTATGCTGGCTGCGTAGGTGATTGCCGATACTGACCAATCCTTACCTTTCGTTGGAATCTGTAGAACGCGTATGGGAGTCCGGTCCGCCTCCACTTCACATCGACATCAATCCAACCATACCTCTGGTTTCACATTAAGGAAACGCGAAATGTGGGTTTGTGTTTTGAATCCCCCCGCTAGCTATTTATGATAGCATGTCCAATGCTAACGCTGATACTACTCTAGCAAAATTACACCCCAGAGCGAAGAAGAATTACAGGAGGAAAGGAGATTATTGGGAGGTTCCAAGTCCGTGAAAATGTCCGCTTCTTTAGGTACAAGGGAACTTTTAATCTTACATTGCGGTTAATATAGCAGAAAGGACCCGAACGCCGTTCGTATAACACCAGGAGCACTGTTAAGAAGAGGAACTGGTACGGATTTGAAGGTATCATTTTGCAGAATCTCATATCTCTGTAGAAAAGAGTTGTTCGGTTGCTAACGAAATTGTTTGATATTACAAAGTCCTTTGCGAATTTCACTCCACGAAATACCCTTATTTCCCGTGCCGATAGAAAACAGATTCACCCTTTGGTCGGGAGGGATCGCAATAAGCCTCTTCGGTCGGTTTCACTTGGACAAGACGCTTCAGACCTGCTTCGGGAGCTAGAAGAAGGCAAGCGGCCCAGAAAAAGACGTAGGACGGACGATTCACATGCTCTTGCTGAGGTCATTGTGGTGAATGATGACGACTCGATTATACGCTCGGAATCTCCTTCATCTCCCAGACCTAATTCCTATGGCCCACGACACCTAAGCCAGAATACCCCGATATCTAACAACCGTGGTCCTACTAATCAAAGGGAATCTACGACCCATGAATTTTGGAACGTTGAGAGGAGGATGCAAGATTTTAAGAGCAAAAGACCGCAAACTCCGAATGTAACTGAGGATGAGCTCTTTACGATGGAAGCCAAAGCACAGCGACTTGGGAGGAAGATCGGCACGGCCATTGCCCGACCAGGTGGCCCAGGTTTGTCTGGCGCTTCCGAAAAAGCGAGTGCTGTTGTTGGTGTACCACCGATTAACAATTTGGGTGGCGCGTGTGCAACGGAATCAGAGACTCATAGCTTTACCGACAAGCTTGCTGATTCATTTGCCCGGACGGGCAGTCAGCGTCGTGGTTCTTATACACGTGAGAGCCCAGACGAGCTTCAGGGGGATAAGACCGTTCCTGAGGCTTGGAGAGGCGGTGCTGCAAAGGATCGTCTGGACACAATGGAAGGTGATATTAGCCCGACAAACTTCTCCGTCGTAATGAAGAAGGACCGAAAACGTACGGATAAAAGACATAGAGACTCACCTACTCATAAGCATTCGTTTTCGGTTACTATGTTTCGCGACACGGTGCGGACTGTTGAGGAATGGTGCACGCTTATTGCTAAAGACGGTACCTTTTTTGTGGCAAGCCATAACGGTCCTTGGATGTCCAAGGAATTTCTTATTGAAAAAATCAACAGAATTTGGCACGGCGGGCCCAGAGTTGCTGTGAAGTTTCCTATGGTTTCAGGCTCGATAGACGAGCTAAAAATACAATTTTCGTCTGAGAAAGAAGCGATTAGATACTGTAAATTGATGTGGGAACTTAACAATGACGTCAAATTAAGGGATAAAGCGAGGTAAGTTAACACACCAATATTTTGAAGGGCAACAATTCAAAATCTGATGATGGATATAGTGATTGGATGGAAAGTATGTTCAAACGCGCTGTTGAGGAGAGGAGACAAGGAATCCGCAATCTGGGTGGCTCGAAACGCGAAAGCCCTCAGGATGCCCAGATTGGCATCGTCCGTCCCTCAACGCAACCTAAACGGCAGAAGCTCAGTGAGAGCCTTCGTGACAGTGACGGGGCAACAAGAATCTCCCCGCCGGAAGATACACTGCAGTTGCGCGGATCTCCCAAGGGTGGAAAACATATTTCGCCGCCTCTCAGCCCCAGTCATCTAAATTCTGATCCGCCTATACCTATTCCTATTAAAACGTACAATACTAACGTGGGCTCGCGTGTCACACGCTCGCGGAAGCGAATGGAACCCACAACTATTAATAGGTGGGTAAATTTTTCACTACATTTTTGAAGGCCGTCGCTAACCAATTTTTTGAACACAGTGACCATGAGCTTTCGACTTCGCCTCTCCGAGATGGTTCTAAATGGGTAAAGTAAGTGTACGGGATTATCAGTTTGTTAAGATATTGCTAATACTTCATCAGGTCGCTTGTATACCCACCTCAAGGCAAAAGGAAAGCTGAAGTGGAATTCCACGATTTGGAACGCTTGAGGGACGGGGAATATTTAAACGACAATCTCATCGGCTTTTATCTACGTTTTCTTGAGTATCACATGGAAACGAAGAGACCAGATTTGGCGAAACGGGTTTACTTTTTTAACTCATTCTTTTTCGCAAGCCTGACAAAGACGTCTAAGGGTCAGAAGATTAATTACCAGGCGGTAGAGAAGTGGACAAGGAATGTGGACCTTTTCAGTTATGATTATATTATCGTCCCAATCAACGAAAAGGCGCATTGGTATATGGCCATTATATGCAACATCCCTGCGCTGTGTGATCCAAAATCCATTGTCGAACATCACGAACCCGAAAACGACATGGCCGATGATTCTCCGCATAGACAAGGGAGACCTGATTTGGGAAATCGAGGTCCAGGCCAAAATGATACAGCCGTCTTACAGCGTGGCGAGGATAACGACACTGTTGCGCAGACTTTAGGGAATCGCAAAGACCAACTTCAAGATGATTTTGATTCCATGTCATTATCGGATAATAGACCGGAAATAGATACCCCACAAAATGACACAAGTCCTGAATCTCAAGACAAGAGTGAATGGCCGGACGAAGGCGAAAACGGACCACTTGTTTCTATTGTCCAAACAGAGGAAGAGCTAAACACTTCACCGCAGTCGAATCAGCTTAAATCGTTGCGTTCTGGGAAATTGAGGGATTTTTCAGGAACCATGTCGAAGAAATCTCACCGGAAGTTCCAATATGAGCCAAAGGAACCCGTTATCATCACTTTCGATTCATTAGGCTGTTCCCGATCCCCCACCGTAAGAATCCTTCGGCTTTATCTCGAGGAGGAAGGGAGAGCTAAGCGATCACTTACCATTGACACACAAAGAATCTGGGGCATGGCTGCTCAACATATCCCACATCAATCTAATTTTTCTGATTGTGGTCTGTATCTCTTAACTTATCTAGAAAAATTTATGTGGGACCCGGACATGTTTATTAGGAAGCTGGTGAGAAAGGAGATGAACGAATATGACGATTGGCCACCAATGAAATCACGGGTTCTTCGACGTCGCCTCCGGAACTTTCTTCTCAAATTGCACGAGGAAGAGGGAAGACAGAACCGGAATGAAGCTGACGAAGGGCCGAGGCTGATCGATACTGAACCGCTAAAAATATTGTTGGTGGATGATCCGCCTGCAAAGGTACCACAAGGCGAGAGTGCTCCTTTGAATGACTCAGCTGGACTTGAACAGAACCCAGAAATCAAGCCTGCTTCCCCTGCCCAAGCAAACAGGTTAGTGGTACGTGGTGGCCAGCAAGAGCCCCGACAGGAACAATCCACACGCGAATTGGTGAAGCTCAACCAAAATGAGCAAATACAGGTCTCCAAGGCCCCAGTCACCCTAAAAGATGAAGCCGTTCAGCAATCCGAACCAGAAACACTGCTGTCGGGAATTTTGCTGTATGGAGGCGAAGACTCTACAAACAATGAAAATATCACTGAAATCCCGAGGACTCCTTCTCCAGACCATATAAGCCCAGATTCCCGTTCTCAGAACGTACGGGAGCATGACCAGGAGATACTTGACGGGATCGAGTGATCCGGCCTTCTTTCATAGATTGTGGATGGAGTTGAATTGCATGGGCTTTCTTTTCCCCTATTTTCTATTATGTTTTCTTTGCCTTGTTCCTTTATCCTCGGCAGATTCTGCCTGATACCTAGCAGAGGTTTTTTTTTTTTTTTTTTTTTTTTTTCATTCAATTTAATTGCTTATCTTCGTTGAGAAATAATACGTATATGGCATGGTACCCTGATCTGCAGTGGTTTTAAGAGAATAGCAACGTCGTATATACTCTAAGCGGGCGCCATGAATGATAGTGCGTTTTGATTTTCGTTTTATTCACCATAAAATAACTACTCGTTCATAAATATTTACTCCGTACTTGGGGTGAATTTTGCCCACTAACGAAACATGCCAAGACTAGCACCCGCGGCAGACGTAACGCTTAAATAAGCGCGCAAGCTCCGGTAGTAGTTATTGACATCTGGCCGAACACCTCAAACAGACAACAAACAATACTTATAATAGTTCTATCACACATTGTCGGACTCCGCACAAACGGCGGTTGGTTCCGCTCTTCAATTCTGCCGTGATGCACTCCGCACTCAATCGGCTCCAGGGCGTATTTGGATTCTGCTCCACCCTCGCATTCCTGCTAGGTGCACTCACATCGTTGACGGTGCTGTTGAGTCCTGCAGAACCGGTTACGAACGTTAGCCTTTCGAACATACAAGTGTATGACATGTTTTGACCCGCTTCCCTTAGTTACTGCACCAGGGATGAGTTACATCGTCGGGAAATGGGTAGTTGTTTGGGCAGTGAACAGTGGGAACTAATTCTGGACATCTATAGGAGCAAAGGACGACCGCATTACTATGCAAGAAAGCGCGAGGAGTATGCGCAGATTAAATTCGATCTCGATGCCGGTGAGTATTTTACGACACGCTCTCATGCCCGCACTCTTCGCGAAGTTAACTAAAGCAACTAACTACTCTTATCCCTAGACCTAACCTCCCTCTTCAACTGGAACACCAAGCAAGTCTTCGTCTACGTCCTCGCCTCCTATCCCACAGCTCCCTCCTCGCCATCAAACCTAACCACGGAATCCATAATTTGGGACATGATAATCCCCGCCACTGAATCCCCGCTCTCTATCCCCGCTTTAACCCGCCGTTTCTTCCCTTCCAAAAAGTCCAAATCCTCCAGGTTCTCCTCCAAAACAAACAAAAATTCCTCCTCGGACTCTAAAAAGCACAAGAATCCAGGCCTCCTCCGCCTCCGTAACCAGAAATCGAAATACCAGATTACAGATATCTCCGGCAAAATTGCCTTGCGTGAGAATGCGCAGCTAGTTGTCGCTTGGAATGTGCAGCCGTGGATAGGTGCGCTGATGTGGAGTCCGCACAGCAAGGTTGCGGAGAATATTGGCGGCGCGCTTGGTGGGCTTCTTGATGCGGTTATTATTAGTGGTGGAAAAGGTGGCAGGAGTAAACCATTTAATTTCCCGGCGTTGAAAGTTGCGGGCGGGAAGGAGGGCTAGAACGGCGGGTAGAAGTCGGGCTGCGCTCTGTGTGGATTGGAGAGGTGAGAGATTTTTGGAAAGGCAGCTCGTCGAATGAAGGTTTTGGTTTGGCTTCTACGTCTAGTACTTGTTGATATATGAGTCTTTGCTACAATTATCATATTTTATGCTTTGTAGTTTTTAAGGGTCGACTTACACTGCCAATTTATCCAATTCGCTATTGTGTCATTTCGGATGCCTTTGAATGGTTAATCATTAGGTCAGCATGTGAAGCCACCAGGTTGAGGGTATTATTGTTGCAAGGAACCCCTTGCGAATGGTAAGATCTATTCATAGATCTTATTATCGACAGTGATAAAACCTCCTTTCATAACAACCAATGCTAAGAATGAAGGGCAAGGAGGGAGTCCATAGGGCCATGGGAGATTGATAATATTTTGTCCGAGGGCAAAAAAAAGTTGCTCTATGTAAGCCTTCCCGATAAGCCCATTGGAGTCAACGAGAGGCAATAAGGGCTCCCGTCGACATACCCAATCCAACTAGCTGATAGTATACATCGTATCCGCTTAAGCTCGAAAAAAAAAAAGCAGAATAGAAGTGATTTCAAACGCCCATCACTAATTTCCCAACTCACAATAAGAATACCAACAACTCCCTCAAAAGCCCCACCTGTACTGGCATGAACACCATCGTTACCTCATACTTTTGACTTCTCAGATCCTTTTCAACAGTCACGTCGTTCTTCCAGACATTGGCTCTGTCCGTCAAACAACACCACAGTAACTTCTGCGTCCCCCCCCCTATGCCCGCGGTATACTTCAATTAACGGGTCCATCTCTCTCATCGCCTTACGTTGGGGACTGGGGGGTAGATACGAG